TGGATTAAGGGCGACACGTTGCCTTAGAAACCACGCTAATTAAGGAGCAGCTGTGGGTCCCTTTGAGACACGCTGAGCACCTCCCGGAGGGCCGAGGCAGACCCCCGCAAGGGGAGACTCTTCCAGCGACAGTCCCGGAGGGGGTTGTGACTTTTTTCTCGGTTTTTGCCAACCTCACCAGTGCCTCCGCCCCCTCAGACTGGGCGTCTGCTCTTAACTCCTCCCTCTCCCGCATTGTCGCCTGGTGACCTGGCGTATTTGTCCCTGCATGCTGACGCAGCTACCCACCTGAACTACTGTAATCGATTGCCTTGCAACCAGTCCCATTGTAGCAAGCCGGCAGAAAGCTGATACAAGTATAAGCATTCACATGATTTAGAGTCCTGGGATTTGAAACTTGCAATAAACGTGGCTCCTGGGAAGGAACTCACACATGACAAGCATGTAAAAGTCCGTGTTTTGAAACACAAGAGCAGTTAGGGTTGTTATTTGATCCAGGCATCTCCAGTTGTTTCTTGAAAGAAGCCAGGGCATTGGTTTCAACAATATGGCTGGGTTGCTGATGCCCACAATCCCTTGGTTAGTGCCTGGTGTCCTCAGTGTTGAATACACAAGCCAATGTTTTTTGAGGAATTTGGAGAACTTGTATCAGGTCCCCAGGTAATCTTTTCTGTTTAAGATTAAAAAAGGTTCAGGTGTTTCACATATCAGTGTAAGACATTCCCTAACAATCCAGCATGTACTATATCTGAATGCTCTTCTCTGGACTGAGTCTGGAGAAACAGTAGCTAAAGAAAGCCTTTCCTGTTGACAGTATGCGTCCCGAATTTTACTTTTCACCCAAGGCCATATATACAAAATGCTGATGAATGTTCCTGAAACTGGTACTGTTGACTGCAGAAGTGTTCAATGAATAGAACCCAAACTGTCCAAAACTGCTGGAAAATTCCTGAGTATATTCTCTGTGATAGGCAACAATCCAGTAGAGATTTTGCCGATGACCTTGCTGCAAGCACATCTCAATGTTTCTTCAGGGTGAGAAAGAGACAGATCAGTGCAGAGTGGCTTCAGGGTGAGGGATACTGCTCAGAAACCTTTGCTGAGAAGAAGCTACAGTACAACCCAGAGGGACTCAAATGGGTAAGAGAAATGCAACAGTGTAGTGATCAAACCTGGAGGAATAGGTCCTTTCTGGTTCAAGTGTGAGCTGCTTGTAAATAATTAATGGCAGTTTGTTTGAAAGTGGAGAGTGGCTTAACAGTTTCCAAAAGATACCAGGCAAATATGGGAAAGATAAAAGACAAGTGTGGAGCTGTTTCTTAGCTAAGGATGTTGGAGATTACCTCAGCTGCTTGGAAGGTTGAAAATAACCTGACTACCATGAGGTACAGTAAAGGCAGATTGAGGTCCGGAATGTCAAAATTCCCTGAGGAACACATCTCTTTGGAGAGGGATTCATATTTCAACATGGGAAAATCCGTCGTGAGGCTGATGGAGCAATCACATTGATATAACGTCATTCCCAGAGCCCCGGTATATGAATGTCGTGGAGGCCAGACGGGTGACATACAGTACACTCTGAAAAGGTTAAATAGCAACCAAACAACTTGGATGACTCCTGGGAAGTTTTTCATCATATTTGCAACAACATATCAGAGTCCCTCCTTGATAAACTGCATTGAGCATGAAATCAAGATCTCAAATTATGCAAGGAGCTCACATATCAAATATCAGTGTTCCGAACAGTGAATTCATGTGCCTCCGCATATTGTCTGTAACAATGAATTGTGCTTATGCTCATGCTTATTGGTTTAATATAATTTGCATTATGCTGTATAGATTCTAGATTTTTTTCAATATTATCTTTTCACAATTATTAATCTGTACTTACAGACTTTAAATGTTCCATAGCTATAATGCTGGCTGTTTTTTATGTTTTATTTTGTATTGCATTAGTTTAAAAGCAGTTCACCTTGAAAACCAGGGGCTGTGAGAATCAGCCAGGCTACACATACAGTACTTAACTATTCTAACTATATGACAAAAAAACCACAAGGCATTATGTGTAAACTCTTGTGCGCTTGCTTACCATGGCAACAGCTGCTCACTACAAAGGGAATGCAGTGGGGCTTTTTGCAGGTTACAGTTATATCAAGGTATCGCAACCTGATCGAGTGGAAACAAACTGTAATTTTTCACAGTTTTAAGTTGCCAGTGGGTTGATGAGTGCAAACATTTTAAAAAAAACTTTAGAAACCTCTTTCATAACTAGTAGACTTTGTATGTCACTCATTAAACCGAACAAAGGGAACCAGAGAGAACACATGCTTTCTGTTCTGCAGAGGAAATATTGGTTGGAGTGAAATAGATGCACTCATTCATGTATCTGACTCCAAGCTCCTTTTAGCTTCATGAGTGTGTAGAGAGAAGCACATGTTTAGCAAATTAATGATGAGGAACACCTGACAACAGCTCAATCAGATTCAGCTGGTGAATGTAATGGAGTAGCTTCTACGATGGTTCAGATTTGCTAGTCATGTATATATTAGTACCTTGATGTGTTGCAGTGAAGCTTTTGAAGATTCTGTTCAATGTCAATTAATGATTGTTGAATTCCAAACTTTTCCTCTCACTTAAACTAAGCCACCTTAGTTATAACAGAAGGGAATAGTCCTGAAAGCATTGCATACATTTGTGATACTCATTACATGTATTGTAACACTTGATCGTATCTACATTCTTGTCATTGATTAAATCAATCAGCTAATTGTTTCTGTGCTGATGATATAATTTATACAGAAAGTTGTTCATTGAACCAAGTGGATGTCCTTTGCAGCACTGACTACATTTTCTCACAGGTTTGCTTTTTGGACAAGTCAAAACAAATGAAGGTAGATGTATACTGCCCTCTACTGCCACAAGAAAGAAGGAACAGTTCCAAAAACTGAGGTGCACAGTTAACGCAGTGAATTTGAATCACAAGCTTTTGATTGTGCATCGGTCATTTTTCATTTTGCAACGTTTTAAAACATTTCCGTTTTCATTGTTCTGATAGGTCAGAGCAGCCTTTTCTTATAGGTTTCGATGAGTGAGTCCAGGCCTCCATTGTGACATAAGACATGAATCCGTGGATGTCTGCCATGGTAACAGAGTTCCATTCTCATGAGAAAGAATGGAACCAGGATTTGTGTAGGGAATGCACACAATGCGCACGTGACTGGATTTGTACATTTGGAAACAAATTGTGATGTTTTGAGAAACCAAGTGAATTAGCAGAGCAGTTTGTTTACGGAGCCTCGGTTTTGTGACGTAATGATTTGTAAAGTGATACACCACAATCAGTGCAGGAGAATTGCAGTGTCACTGGGAGACTGGGTGGCACAGTAGTTTGAACATGGTGCTGAATCTGCAGCTATGATCCAGTCCCTGTCTGGTATGAATGAGGAAAGGGCATGAACATCCTACCTCTTCACTATGAGCTAGATAGGGCATTCGACAAGTGAGGCTGTTTTAATCCTGGACACACATACGTTTGTAATTATTCTGACAGGTTAAAGCTCTGTAAATTCACTCTTTACATATCATAATGGAAAATGAGATCTTTTCTAGCTAGCTTCCTTTTCTGCAATGGGTAATAGCCAGTTCTGGGCCTTAGATGCTCCAGTCCTTATTAGCGAGCAGGTTTTCTTTGAAGTTTTGAATCCTTAATGGATTCAAAGTGGAGATTATATACCTAGATTATACCAGCTAGGTGAACAATTGAGTTGTTTTGAAAAATGATGAATAGCTCAAGAGAAGTGAAAACCAGAATCCCGCGTGACATCAAAGATAGCTGTGCTAAAACCATTATCTGCCGATCCATTTTCTAATCCCAGGTTGTGGGGGAGCTGAAGCAACAGGCGCAAAGCAGGGTGAACCCTGGAAAGGGCTATTAATCCATCCCAGGGCACATAGACACACACTTGCAAAAGGGGCAGTTTTCCCAGAACCCAATTGCCCACCCAGTAAGTCTTTGGACTGTGGGAGGAACCTAGAGCATCCAGAGGAAACCCATGCAAATGCAGGGAGAACATGCAAACTCCACACAGACAGCGCCCCAGGTCTGGGATTGAACCCAGGGCCACAACACTGCCAGGCACCACTGCTGACCACTGGGCCACCATGCTGCCCCTGTGCTATGATCAGTGTGCTCCTTTTTCTTGATAGAGCAAAGCTGCGCACAGAATGTAATGTTTTGTCTAAGACCAGTGCTGCTACATGTCTGCCTGAAGTCTGCTGTTGGCCTTAAATGCATGAGAATAGACTTGGAATGTTTACCTTAAAACTCCAATCTGGATGCCTACAGGAAGCTGATGTTACAGTTGCTAAGCAATGCTGCACTCGTAAAGAGACAAATCACACAGATTGTGATTTGAGACAGCTTTCTTTGCTAAAAAGCTATTCCATTGTTCGTAGAAATTTGAAAAATCTGCACAGACTGATAGTTGCATTCAGCACTGACATTCTTCATATCTCTTTGAATATGTATAGGTTTCTTTCCTAAGCAATAATTGCAGGGGAACAAAGCACACAGCAGAGCTTTTTCATTGGGTTATCTATTGGGCCATTTGAAAGGATTTTTTTTTCTGTTGGTTTAAAGCTTCTAAATCCCAATTTTCATATAATTGTTAAAAGATTTGACTTAAAAAATGTCAAGCAAAATTAAATTGAGACATTTTTAACCATAGGTTAAACTTTTAATGAACAAATTGACAGCATTAAAATGTTTTCTTATATTAGGAAGTTCTAGTTCTCTGCTCCTTACAGTATTGAAAATATGAGTAATGAAAATTGCACAATATAGATTAGAAGCTTGTTGACTTCTAACCGAAATTGGGACTGCAGTAAGTTTAGATCATTTACGTCCATCAAGTACAACACTGTTGCTAGTAACCTATTAAAGTATCAAATGTTCACAATTGTTTTTTTTAGTTGGTATTTTCTTATTTTTCTCTTTCCAGGTAGGAGACCAGATGAAGCTTCTTCATAACTGCTGGAGTGAACTACTAGTGCTTGATCACCTTTACAGACAAGTACAGCACAGCAAAGAAGGGAGTCTACTTTTGGTCACTGGCCAAGAGGTAAGAGTTCAACAGTCTGCCCACTGTAGGTTGCTGTGCTTTTCTAATGATGTTATCCGCTTGAGTGGTGTTGCGCAAAATCATCTCCAAAGAGATACGCAGACATTTTCAATATAAAGTATGAAGTGACAGAACACATCTGTGTGTTGATCTTCCTAACACATAAAAAAGGTTATTTATAGAAGCACAGTGTAAAATTAATGGCCAGGCAAAAAAGGAAGTTAGACAATTAAACCGAATGAACATGAGGTAATTCCTTTGTAGTTTTCTCTAACCTACTAAAGAACAAGTGAGCAGTTTTGCACTGAATGGGGCTCTTCAGTACAGTAAAATCCCAGGAATTAATAGTGATATACCAATATCAGTTCATCAACCTAAAATCTTAATAATGGTTTGGAAAATAAAGTTAAAACCACATACAGTTGTTAATGTTTTTCAGAAACCCCATAAACAAACAAGCAGATTCGCTTTCCTTAATATTTAGTCATTTTCATTGCTTTACCTCCAGATCCAGATTTTGTACATGAAATGCTCATCAAATCAAGCACAGAAGCAACTTCACTCCGCCTTCATGTTGTGATACATGTAGATTAAGGGAAAGGAAATATTTATTACTTGGCGAAAATAACACTTATATTGTCCGTCCTAGCTTTTTAAAAATCAGTAGATAATTAGGTGTTGAAATGCCTCCCTGCAAAGCCCAGCATCTAGTTCTAGTGCTGTTTAACAAGACCTTGATGTAGTAATTTTATCAGGATCAAGCTTTCTCGCTTCCTGTATTGTGGTCAGACATTAACTGTAATAATGTCAGAAGTCGCCACTCAAATGTGAATTTCCATCTCTGATCTTCAGTTGTTTAGGTCACTAAGTCAGATATGGAATCTATATCCGATAAGAATCAGATATAGAAAATAACCTGATGGTTTTAGATGGGTGATTAGTTAGAAGCCCTAGCCGAAAACCAGGCTCTGTTCAGTTGTATTCGTTGGTGAGGTAGCTAGCATTTTGCCGCCATGCGAGATGCTCAGAAGGAGCTCAGTTTCTGGCAGCATTCCTTCTATGACCGGAAAATGACCCACACAGATGCTAGCGTTTGTTTGCCTGTTTTCGGAGATGTTTTCGTGTGCAGGAAAAAAAAAAACAGTGATCCGCAGATAACCTCGGATTGTCCACACACAGCATGTGGCCCAGGTTGGAGGAGAAAGTAAAAAATTCATTTTATTTCTGTTAAAGGCCCACATTTTCCCATACGAAAGTCAGCCCTGTGGTCTTTATTTACTGATGCAGCTGTGAGAACCGAACAGAAAACGTGGTGTGGGGAACTTTTTGGATATGATCAACTCTTGGCTGGGTTTTTACATGGGTTGTGAAAAGCTGCTTTAAAAGGCACGAATATATGACATAAGTTGCAGGATGGCCTGTGCAAATGAGAATAATATTTCGTTTATGAAATTTATGCTTGCCAAGTTCGACTTGCGTACCAGATCATTAGTTGTCACGCCATGAAGTCGAGACCCGATGTTGTATTCAATCTCAAAAGGTGGATCTGTAAGTTAAAAGAGCAGTACAGTGGGAAATGTTTGTGATCTGGTTTTTCAATATTTTTATACCACGGTTCCTTAGAGGTAGTGACAATATTGTGCTCTGGAAACCCAAATAGTTAAAGATGAGTGATTTTGAGCTCCCTTAAAGAGGTTATTTTATTTTCCTTTGGCTAAGAAATAAAGTTACTTACAGTATATGTGAAAATGCTGGTATATAAACTAGACATCACCAATGTGCTTGTGAAATTATTGTCCATCACAGGAGAGAGTCTGAGTCCTGAAATGAATTAAATGGAACTTTTATCTTCAGAGCACCATTTTGCACATTTAGAACCCTCATTCGGTTAGAAGATATTACGTTTTGCCTTGCTATTGTGTGTTTTACTTTGCATCGTATGCCCTTAAAATAGGACCATGTACAATGGCTCCAATAAGCATTTGGATGCCAGCCATTCTAATACATACTGAAAGAACCACACCAAAAAATTAAAAACCCTGAAACTTCAGAGTAAAAATGTAATAAAATGGGAACTGTGAATCTGTGGAGCAATTTGGTGTTATACTGTAAAGGTGCCTTACAGTAAAGGTGTCATAAAGGACCTGTTTATTATAATTCAGAGAAGGGCTTGTATTTAGACCTGAAACAAATACCAGGATAATGTGTTTGATAAGTTATTCTAGTTCTACTTGAATTTGTAACAATGTTTTATAGCAGTACGTTTTTCCCATTAAAGTAAAGGAAGATCTGATATATGTTTTCTTAATTCTGTTCCCAGTGTATGAAATTAAGGATTATGGTGATCAGATCTGTTCAGGCCTTGTTAGTTACCGGTACCATAACAGCCAAGCAAGAAGTACCCTGATTGGGTAACTTAAATCTTTTTGGCTCAGCAAGGGAAATGGTTCAGATCATCAGGACATTTAGATAGAAAACAAGCTTCTTTGATGCATCTGTGTAATACAGGTTTAATCTTTATTTTGGAAACAGAAAAAAGATGCTGACCAAATGCAGAGCACATAGTTTGATATCACTAATCCCATAGAAATTGTCTTTCTATAAAAATATATTTTCAATTTATTATATTTTTTTTCTTATTTTACAGATTGAGCTATCAACCATAGCAACCCAAGGTGGGGGGACCTTGAATAATCTTGTTCTGAGAGGTCAAGAGATAGTAAGCAAGTTACAGTCTCTACAAGTCGACCGGAGAGAGATTGCCTGCTTCAAATTCCTTATGCTTTTTAATCCTGGTGAGTGTGGTATAATTTCATTTGCTTGCATACGTTTTGTTTCTGCAGTAGAAATCACGCTTGTAACTGCAGTCACAGGGTGTTCGCCAGTAATTTAGTTCTCAGAGGTTAGGAGTCCTTCGTTTACACAGTAAGGAAATAAATCTGTAATTGTTAAACAATTCTCTTAAACACTGATCACATAAGTATTTATTTAATAATAAAATTTAGTGCCGAATTGCTGTCTTAACTTGCACATCTGAATGAATAACAACCCGATTGTAAGGACTAGGCAGTCCTTACTCTCAAGGAATGAGCCAGGGAGCTGCTACTAGGGTGCTGATGGGTTGAGGAAGTGACGTGAATGAAAATGCTCTAGAACAACGGTATTTGTACGTCAGAGAGCGAAGACTTTAGAATTCAGAAACTGCATTCTTTCAACTGCAGTTGCTACCTGCTACAGTAACGATTCTGTCATTGTAGCTGTAAATGACAACTGTCATTGGATACTTGGCATCATTTTCAGAAAATAAGAAAATCCTCTTTCAGCTGTTCAATTTTCTCACTCCAGTGCTGCGGCTAATACCGTTATTGGTAAATAGGTTTCTTCTCATGAGACAACCTTTGCTTCACGAAAATAGCCTGTTTTGGGGCTATAATTTCAGAGCAGAAACAAAATCACTGATACAGGCTAAGAAAATGAACAATACAAAACAAATATAATCATGTTGATATGAAATTAGGATAATGGCTGATTACTCCTGCTCCCATGTACGTCAGTGTCCGACAGCAGGAACCATTGCCTCCAGTAGCTGGAAACTTTCAACACCGAGCACCAGCCACTGTGCCCCTTTTTAAACACGCTTTGACTTCCTCAACAAATTATCCTCCAAGGTAGCCATAACAAAGAACTGTTCTTGAGCATTTAATATAGCTCCGAAAGATAAAGTACTGTCCTGCGTAGAGCATTTAACCCTGCACACCCCAGGATATGCAATAAACATGCGATCCTTTATTATTTTCCATAGGATTTCATTATAACCCCATCATAAAAAGGAATAATAACTTGGAGTCAGTTTAGTAGTAATAATTACTTGATTTTTTAAGGCGCTTGTCATTCCAAAGCAGGTTACATATAGGAGAGGACTCACGTCATTGGGTCTGATGAGCTGCACTTGTGTAACTGCATGGGAATAATGCACAACTATGTGATATGCTGTACATACTCATATGAAATTGGACTAAAAATAAGTATTTAAAGCTTTATTTCATTTTGGGAAGAAACAGTATGGCATGATTAGCACTAAGAACTCATTTAAACGTTTCACATCATAGAAAAAGAAAAGAACCACAACCTAACTGACATCCTTTTATTTAAAATACAGAGAACGGTGGTTTTTACTCACTATAGATGCTGCACAAACCAGCAAAGGCTGTCTTTCCAGAAACAGTTTACACTCCTCCCAGAATTCTGCTCACTTTCCTCAGTCCAGCTCTAAAGTGAGATCGCTTATGAATCAGCATGAAATGTGCAGCTTAATATGTGAGCAAGACCCATCTCTTGCCACAGCTTTGAAAGTAAGGACTGAAGTTCCAAAATGCTGTAGCCTATAGTATGTGTTTTTTCACTTATTAAACACCTGTGACTAGTCAGTCATTCTATAAAGTAACAACTACTTAGATCTGTCAGTCATTTCTTTGTTCAACTTGCTTATCTTACCTGGTAGCATATATATATATATCACTTGTATGAATATTTGCAAATATTGTGACTGAATATTAAAATTCAGCAAGATTAAGATTTTCTTCAGTCGGTTTTTGTTTAGTTCTGACCTGTTTCAATTAAGGGCTGAAAGCAATTGGATGCTGTCAACTTTAGCGTTGATTTAGGTGCCACTTTAAACATATCTGTTCCAGGCTTGAGTTGGATTGAGAATGGCATTCTGAATTCCAGTGGGACCAATATAATTGTATATAGTGTGTATATATACGGAGACATTCTGTTTATTTAGATAACTGCAGTTGCTGTCTAAATAGATTTCTGCCTGTAGTAGGTAATGAGTTTAATTAAAATTAGGGGTTTCTCAAAAGGCAATGTTTATGAAGACAACACAGGCTACCTTTGTTCTGCAATAGTACTTAATAGAAGGCTTAATGGATTGACCTATCATTCAATTTCCTGACTCTCATTCATACTGCAGATACTGCTAGAGGAGGGAAAAATAGGCTTTTATATCCCCACATTCCCTTAAGCGATTGCAATTTAGCGCCGGTCTTTGTGGAACAAAAGCCGCTTTAAATAATGAGAACACTTGAAGGCCCAGGAATAATCCAAGGCATTTTGTTTTGTGTGGATGTGTGAGGAGACGGTCGATTTTTTTAATGTAAGGAGGGAATCTTTGCCATAGCTCCTGTGTCTCTCCGCATCCATTGAGTCAGATTTATTTATCAGGACAATTTTCTTTGGCCCTCAAGAGTGCTGAAAAGATTATTCAAAACATTTAATTAAACTGCGAATGCAGCTCCCCCTAGGGCTCACCTGAGTCTGAAAGGGAGCACATCAAACAATGCAGGCCATTTTCAATGTTGGGCCACATTTCTAGTTTCAAAGTGCTGACAAAAACACTCCCCGGATAAAATTTGTGAGGAAAAAGAGGTTAATTGGCATAACTCACCTAGCTGAGAGAGCAGCCGCCTGAGCATAAGGATGAGACTGACTGAACCCCCAGACTTTCATTAGGAATGAGCCAGGGAGCCGCTGAAAGAGTGTAGATGGGGTTGCTGGAGGGGTGTGAAACCCAGAAGGTGAGGTTTATATATAGTATATATACTGTAAGAGAGCAGAAGAAGGCAAAATTATTAGGCCTGTTGTAAACTCTGCTTTACCATCGCTTGAGAGAAATGACATGCAGTAGGTCTTTGCTATGACAATGAAATGGAAGTGCAGAAAAAGGAGAGATAATCATCTGACCTTTCTCCTGAACTTCTGTTAAAAACACGATTTATGGCATTTATTCACGAAACGTTTCATTGCAAAATACGTTCAGTTCGATTAATATAAATAATTTCTATGAACATTTTTAAAATATATAATGTTTTTTTATTAAATGCTGTCTTTTTTCCTACATTGTCACATGGAAGTGCGTGGAAAGGGGATTTGCTGTCAGAAATGTCTCAATACTCATGAGTCGTCAGGACTTTGCATCCAAATAAATTCAACACTATTTGTAATTAAATTTCTCGTGTAATATCGTTTAATGTGTTTCACGTAAAATATAAATGCCAAAAAGTTCTCATTGCAGCACAGTAAAACCCATATCAGTGTGATGGAAATTAAACCAACAAAGACAAAATATAGCTTTGTTTGGAAAATATTTAAAATTTGACATAACAGCAAGTGTACAACTAAAAGCTTAGACGTTTAAATTCAAAGTGCAAAATGTCAGGCTATGAATTGAATGCAAATATTAAACAATGTGCTTCATTTTCATTACTGACGGTGTGTAAGGTGTCACTTGTCTTTAGTAAAAACTAGATTAGGGGAATGTTTACAGTCAATAGGAACCACATGGTACCTTAGACAAGAAATCAAAGTATTGTATAAGCTAACACTCTGGCACCTGAGCCCAAACAATAATTGAATACTAGCTGCACATCATCATTTTGTCACCATTAGCTGAATTAACCCCATGTGCTGAGGCTCTTTCCAGCATATTGTTTAATTGTGTGCAGTTCAGACATTTTTAAAATCGAACATCTCTCCCATCATGTCTGTAATTCACAAAAGTAGGCAGAAATCCCATTAACTCCCATTCTTCTCCTATGAACCTTGACAACAGCCACTGCAAACCTTTTTCACATGTTTTTTTAAGCCTCTTCATTTTAAAATTTTACCGTGCTAATTTATGTTTCATTATTTTCACATGTTGCATTTTATTTTTTGACAAATTTTAAACCCACGGCTCATAGTCTTTTTTTAGTTAAAGTACACATCACAAAAGCCAAAAGCTGTTCAATGTTGTTTATATGAATATACTGTAAGTGACGGAGAATATTTTATTTTAAAGCAGTGGGCTCTAAACGTGTACATTATAACTAGGGACATTTTTATGCAGTGGCTCTTTTTTCCAGACATTTGTTTCAATTGCTAATTTTCCCTCAGGTCAGATAAGCTCTTCCTGTATAGGTGGTTTCACAGTGGTGCAGTGGTTAGCCCCTCGCAGTGCTGGGGTCCTGGGTTTAGTTCTGGGCCTGGGGTGCTGTCTGTGTGGAGTTTGCATGTTCCTCATGGGTGCCAGCCGCCCAGTATTGTGATGCAGCGAACCATTGTGCCACCCGGTTGGGTTTCCCAAATTAAAAATAAAACTGTATACAATGCCAGTTATCATTCTGCTAGCATACATTGTTTGCATATTCAAAAAATCTCTTATTGTTACAGCCCTGAACCTTTGTCACATCCGTTTTCTACAGTCAAGAGCAAATATCTAGTTTTCTTTCTGCCTCTCTGAATCACCTTGGTGAGCGTGGAGTACAGTACCACAGCCAAGACATTCCAGTAGACTGTAATCAATTCCGTCCTGTCAGAAGAAAGACTGACTGAGCCCGATACTTTCTTATAAGAAAAACACTGGGGTGGCTTCTTGACTGTTTAGACTTTGTGGGAGTAGACTGATTCCAAGTATCATGTTGACAGGAGACCAAATAATTGTATGTTTATATCAAAGCTTTCAAAATACGTTTGTAGGCAGTGAACCATTTCAGTCCTGCACAAACCAGATGTACCATATTGAGATTTCAATACAGCGCTTCTGTATTTATACAGTATTTGAACACTATCATATCACTGCTCTCTTATGTTTCAATGCAACTTTCTATTGTAATTCCTACAACTGAAAACTAGATAGTGTATGCAATACAAAGGAAAACACCTGGAATGTCCAACTTCTTAAATTTAAAATTATTATTTAGCTAATTAGATCTTTTAATAGATGTGTCATGACCCAAACAATTCATTTAGGTATAATTTCAAAGAAGGAGAGCAACACCTTTTTTGAGGCTTTGTAGTTTTTATGTTTTTTTTTATATATTGGCAGAAGCAGAAAACACTGCAGCTCCAGTTTAAAATGGTATTGTGCTACACGGCAGACTATGTTTAAGCTTTCATTAAGCGTTAGTGATTTTTGCCTTTATTGTTTGACCGGTGTATTCCTTAACGCATAAGGAATGCGCAGGAAAGCAAGCACATTTGGTTTTGACTCTTATATCAGAGTACATTTTAGCCCAAAACATTATTACATTACAGGACAAATCCGTAGGTGTTGTGGTAGAGTTCCATAGGAAAGGAAAGGCTGTACAAGAGAGGATGTTTTGGCTGTGCTGAGGGCAACTCAGCTGCTTAAAGAAAATAAACTCCTCCGTCTGAAACATTATTTGAAGCCTCCTTGCAGTGTTTGTTTAACCTCTTGAATTACTGTAAGCAGAGCTGCAGTGTTAATAGGTCAGTCCCTGTCCTCTCTAGTGGATCAGTGCCAACATACAGTACCTACCATGCCTCCTCTGCTTTATTTCTTTCAGTAATTTAGTGTTACTGTTATGAGTGTGTTGAAAAAGTGCATTTTCATTAAACCTTTTGCTAATGAACAGCCTGATTCCATCTAGAACAAGAGCATTACCTTAAATGCGTTCTTTTCCACCTTTTAATTGTATTTTGCTGAAAAGTCCCCAATAGTGTGTATTACAAGCAATTCAGAAGAGGTTCAAGTCTTTGAGTGATGATACTACCCACTAATTAGAGGACGTCTGTTGCTGTACTGGCAAGGATTCGTTTGTAAATCTGGTCCTGGAACTGTTGAATGGGTCATTTTGTGATGGCTTGTTAGTAGACCAAGTCATCCAACATAGATCACCACAGCATGATCAAAGTGGATCTCTCCCACTCACCAGCATCTCCATTGATGCAGCAGTGAACACTAGGAACTTCAACTTGCAAACGTGCAAGGGAGCTTTGTTTAATGTTAGCATTCGATTGTGCATCACAATTACATCAGGAGATGTTCCTGCCAATAGTTGTAACATACTGAGTTTAATTTTCCATGACAGATTTATTGATAAAGGTAAAGGAAAGTCAGTGAGCAACAGAAAGCTCTGCACTGAAAAATACAATTTCCGAGAAACAATGCGATATTTCATTTTTCATGCAATTTTGATGGTGATAATGGTGTTTTCTCACTCAGCTGAAGTGAGCTTGATGCTGGGTAAAATATATGCACTATCCAGTTTGCGAATTTGAGTCTGCATTGTGGTAACCATAATGCCCATGCAACTTGATATTTCACTTTTTAGACCATTATTCCACTGTTCATTCTTTCATACTTTCCCTTTATTATACAGATATAAAAAACACGTGGATATGGACTCATAACAATAGTTGCCAAGATCTGCCTTTAACCAATCTATAAAATTTGAATTCAAGCCTAATTTAGGCAGGTTATGGAATGTGTTTCAATATCTGGTTTGATTTTTATGTTTCTAGCTAATGATTAGGTTAGAGTTGCAAGAAAATCGTTTTAACGAACAGTGACGATGATAGGAACTGTGAATCGGTTTTGTTTTTCTGAGGCGTGTGGGTTCAAAACCGATCTGTCAATTAGCAATGTAATTTATCGGGCATGAGTTTTTTTTTTCTCCTAATTTTAATCTAGTAATCTCTCACTCTTCTAGATGTGAAGCTTCTGGAGAACCATCACTTAGTAGAGAGTGTCCAAGAGCAAGTCAATGCTGCTCTCCTGGAGTATACCATGTGTAACTACCCACAGTTTATGGACAAGTTTGGACAGCTGCTCTTGAGATTACCAGAGATCCGCTCTCTGAGTTTACAGGCTGAGGAGTACCTGTATTACAAGCATCTAAGTGGTGATGTGCCTTTTAACAACCTGCTTATAGAGATGCTTCATGCCAAAAGAGCCTGAGACACACCTGTCTAGCTGCTTGAAGTGGATGCAGACATTCTCAGAACTCCCTGTTGACGGCGAGACAGCAGAAGACCACAAAGGATTGGAAAGTGAGGTTTGGAGAAGTGTTGAGGAGGACTGGACTGTTTTTTATTAAATATTTATGGGTGGGATTTTCAAAGCTTCCCCGCCCCCGCTAAAGGAAAAGGTGATCCTCATTGTTTGAAAAGAATTGTAAAAAAGTTTTGACCAGTTCACTTAAACCAGAGATATTACTATATGTTGAACAGCTTCCTGGTAAATAAGAAAAAGTGTTGCAAATGTTTTCATGACAGTGAAAAGATTCAAAAGTGGCTTAGTCACAATCAAACCCCATACCAAATACCATCTTTGCCTAAAATTAAACACCCTTAGGCAAAATATATCTCTCCAATTAACTGAACACACACATATTCTGTTTTACTTTCTAAACCTGAATCACTACTCACTTCTAATCACTTATCACTACTGTCTTATTCGTACAAATCCATTTTATCTCAGACCTATGAATACATTTCTTTTGCAAAACATTTTTCTTTTGAGGCAAAGCAATGATTTTTCTTGAACTCAGTACCAAACCCATTGCTATTTTTACTGTAGAGTGCCTGCAGAACTCAAGAGTTACGTTTTTCAAGGGTCAAATACTGATTGACCTTGCTGAAGTCACCAAAGAATTGTTTGTCCTTGCACCCGCAGAACGTGTGAGTGTTGGTTCAGTTCCTGTCAGAGCTAAATTCAGAGCTAAATTATTGCTGAACTTTGGTGCTTTTAAAAGAATAAGCTTTGGTATATTCAGCTTTTAAATTCTCCTGAAAAGTTTAAAATATCTAAATGTGCAACTTAAGGTCAAAATTTCTGGTAGTGCAAAAAGAACAAGACAAAAATAAAACCATAAAAGAGAAAGATATTATTGATAAAAACACTGATTTCAACTTAAATGTTACAAGCCATTGCTAATTACTTGTTCAAAACTCTGTGCAAGACCTAGATGGTATCCTTTCTCCCGTTAATGGCGCAGTAAAGGTTAAAGACTGAGAGGGAAATAAAGATATTGCTGGCTATCAAAAACTGACATGGGAGAGGGAGAGGAAGTTCCCTTTGGCAATAATCCTTAGTTCAATTCTTCAGAAAGAAAAGTAAGTGTAGGAGAGAGGACTCACACTTTAAAGACAAACGAGAATTGATAACTCTACTGTGAAGGCACTAAGAGCAACTGTAAAGTCTTGTAACAGATGATGTAGACAATAGGACCCCCATTGTGTACAGTCATATTAAGCATATACCTTGAGATTTGTCACTGAAGACCTCAGAGCAGAGAGAGGTCTTGGGGAAATCAAGGAAAGGATTTGAATACACATCGGCCCTTCTATTCTCCCTTTATTAGCCAGAATGAAAGATCTTTTATTTAAAATGATTTACAGAAATCTGTTCCCCGGAGATTTTCAGATTTCAACAAAAAGAGTCATGTAAAATGCCTTCCACAGTAGAAATCCCGCAGTGTTCCCTCGGCATAAGGCATTAACCATCTTTGCATTTGGATAGCCTTTTTTTTGTGCAAGAAATTGAAATCTTATTCATAACCAGATAATAATCCATGTATAGAAATATTAGATTTTATTCTATGTTCAGCTGATCTGCTCACACAAAGAATTGTGGTAGGGGAAGGAAAATAAAAGAGCTCCTTTTTTTTATTAAAGCCAAAACCATAAAAAATTCGCCCTACCCAACATATTGCATTTGTTGTTTTGGGTATTATAGTCCAAAGCAGCGATGCAGTGACCTCTTCGTATTTTTCCCAGCCTTTCAAGTGCAGGGACTGATCATCAGGTTACACAAAGTATTAACTGACAGTCGTTTGCTGTGAGTTAAGTACAGAAACACCTCATTCTTCTGCATACGGACTGTGGAAAGGCGTGGGTGCAGAGCAGCAAGTTTCACTTGTTTAGAACCTGAAGCAGTGGCTGAGCATTCGCATTTCACCCAGGTTAAGTAGTGACTGCTTTGCTTTGCACCTGAAGCAGTGTCATCTGATTTTATTTCAGGGTTTAAGAAAGAAAGAATGATCAAATGGAAGCCATGTTTGATGCATGCATTGTAGAATAAAATGTAGTGATAAAGCCGTAGGAGGTGTAGGAGTGGTGTGTGATATATTTTTTCCTTTTTAGATTTTTATCAGCTGTGTTTCCCGGTTGTATGCCTCAAAGTCTTGGTTACTGTATATCTGGAAAATAATACGGACAGGGCAAAGCCAGTTGGAGTTTTGTGGTTGTTTGTTAGGTTCAAACAAATACATGCATGGAGCAACTGTAAAAAGTGCAGTTCACAGGATTTGATCCTGGTTTCTCATGGGCTCTGAGCGTGTGAAGTCCCACTCTCTGTGAAGCAGATAACTTCCACCACTGCAAAAAAACCAAAACAGATCGGTCCTCTGTTGAAGCAGAGTTTTACACTGTCTAGTTTCGACAAGGGGGTGAAGTCACTATAGTATACTGAGCCCTGTGCCACTCTCCCACTCTAATCTATTCCTTCTCACCCACAGCAACCTCAGTGCCATGCGCTGACTGCCAGCCCTGAGGTAACGACAGTATAATTTCTGTGTTTCGATTGCCTCTTTCACATGTGCATTGGTAATTCAATGCTATCTGGTTAACGGATAAGTCTGTTTGATTATTATGTTTTCTTAACATTCATTGCAGAAGTGAAGCTGAAGCTTCTCAAGGTTTGTCTGGCTTTTGAAAGCAAGAAAGCACATTAATTACACCATGTGCTTAAACAATTCGACCACATTCCCTTCCTAAAAAACACTGCTTTGCTTTTGTGTGAGTGTGGTGGTATAGCCTCCTCAAATTCAGTGATTACTCTTTTATTTTTTGCTGCAAATCATTTTCCAAGCATTAAAAACTCCTCTGGGCACACGATACTATTAATATTTGACCAACAAAACATTACCTTGGCTATGTTAAAAAAGGTTCAGAAATACATTCAAATCCCATATGTGCTGTTGTGTGAAGAAAAGAGTAATGCGGCGTCTTCATTTTTAAGTGCTACAAAAGTACAGTAGCATACAATTTCTCAGAGTTTTTCATTCTCAGAATCTGAAACATTAATCGATTCAACTCAAAAAAAGACATCTCCTCAGACATTTCAATTGGTGTGCCTAAGTATAGTTACTGCAAGTTGATGATAAGTGCGAGTGCTGTAAAAAGTCTGTGGAGGGGTACTGTGTACTGTGATGAAAGCTGAAAGAAAAAATCCCAGACATTGCAGTGTGATACTTACCCAGATGCCTGTTTTGCCCACTGGACTCAAAAACAGGGTGGCATCTAAGGATGTGCACACAAACATAATAAAATAGTCTATAAAATGAAAAACGTCATTAAGTTAGAAGATATGAAAAGAGATCACACTGAGTGTTTGTATACTGTTTTTTCTGGAAAGGGATTGAAAGATCGAGCATTCTAAAGGCTGTAAGTGTTCTGAGAAGGCTATGCAACTGTATTTAGTATTTTA